GAATGAATTTATGCTGCACTAATGTGAATGTTTGCATGGAAATCAAACGCATTTCACACGCAGTACTCGAGCTGACTTACCTTTGTTTGAATGGCGACTTGTACGCGCTGACTCCACAGACAAGGTCAGGCTACGTCAATAGCGGTTGGTCTTCAGGGTTTCTACTCCACGGCCGTATTTCATACGTGTCCACATTTCCAATGCACGCTATTTTCTGCAAGTACCGCTGCTTCGCCTCTGGACGCAATCGGTCTCTATACAGTTCATTCTCTTTTGAGCTGCTTTTAAGCATCTTTCTTGTAGTCATCGTTCCAACACAGTGTGTTTGTTTTGATTCGTAGACCCCGAAAATGGCGCTGCGCTCCCATAATGCATTGCGGCGTGACGTCAACTCCAAAGCCCTATATAAATACAGGCCATTTACTCATCCCCGACTGTCCGGGGGAGGGGCAAGGTCACACATTGAAACAGACTGACGTGGAGAGGTGCTAGGCAGCCCAGGCGGAGAAATTTTACTTTTAGACTTTGCGACTCATTTTATTTCTCTATCTGATAAGAAAACTATTCGGTCAGATAGTTTTTTGTGGTAAATGAAATACAGTTTCAAGTACTTTTAAGCACCACATCTGAAATTCAAGCACTTTTCAAACCTTGAAAAGACAACATTAAAATTCAAGCATTTTCAAGGGTTTCAAGCACACGTCGAACCCTGCATATGCATACTTTATCAAACTTGCATTAATAGATTTTCTGGTCACTTGGGGACACCAAAAAACAAACGGTGTACATGACATTCGTTGTGTGAAGTTTCGTTTGAGTCACTCACTGAGCTCACTGCATATTAAAAACTCCTTTGGGGGAAGATATTTTTTAGGGTTAATGATGTAACTGTCTTTGTTACATCAATAGCAACCATCAGTTGAGATTACTTTCTTTTTTGAGTTAAAGGAAATGGTAAATGGACTGGTTCTTATAAGGCACTTTTCTGCTCTGCCTGGATACTCAAAGTGCTTTATACAACTAGCCTCATTTACCCATCCACACCTATTCATACAGACACTTTTTCCTATAGAGGTTCTTTATATCTAAAATTCACATGTTTGGCATACAGACTGGCGCAGCCAGGAATTGAAGCACCATCCTTCCAGTTAGCAGAAGAACTGCTCTACCTCCTGAGCTACAGCCACCCCAAAGCACACAGTATAAATATGAAAACAGAAAATTGTTAACTAGACCCAGCTGAAGTTAGAACACAACACCAAAAAGTAAGAAACACAAGTCACATATAACTAAGTGTTTTGCGATGTCAGTTCAAAATTGCAGTAACTCACTAAGAGCTGTGACATCCACGAGCATGAAGTAGCCTCCCTCTGGGATTACGGGAGTCATGCCAGCCTCCTCCACAATGGCAGCCAGGCGGTCCCTCTTTCCTTCAAGTTCATCTGCCAGTGAAGTGAAATAACACTCAGGCTGATCCATCAGCTCATAGTTTAGGAGTAAACCTTGTGCCACTGCCTCCTGACAAGAAAAACAACTTTAGAACTGAAGTACAATCAAGACCCAGCATAACTGGGATGTTTGGTGGACTCGCCTGCAGAGGTGTGGGACAGGTGTACAGGGAATTCTGCATGACTGTCTGAAGATGCTTCATCAAGTGCTCAGGTCCAATAGACCAACCAAGCTAGAAGATACAAATGTCACAACAAGGTCAGATTAGTGATTAAATAAGTCATCGTTAAATAATAACATGGCTTAACACGACTTACCTTCCATCCAGTCACACTAAACGTCTTTCCTGCACTGCCAATAGTAACAGTTCTATCCCACATTCCAGGCAGAGTTGCTGCAGAGAGAAAACAATGTTGAAATGTCAAATACAAAGTAAAAAGTAATTATGTGCTTCAACAATTTGGTTCACAGTCATAAAGGTAGAATTAATAATTTAAAAACACATAGGAGAAGGCGCCAATTTGTGAAAAACGTCATTTTGATGCAAAATCTTGATTACGTTCTCCGAGCTGGACATGGCCGTCGCTCCTAACTACATTTCATGTTTGTAGCTGGAGAAATGCCTGTTGACCAATACACATACCAATTTTGACATGCTGGTGTCCCCTGTAGACGAGCCACTCATAAACCTCATCACTGAAGCACAGAGTGTCATGTTTAATGCAGAGGTCTGCGATCATCTGCAACTCGTCTTTGGTAAAAACCTGCAGGAAGAAGACAGGAACGAACTGGTCAGAGCAATGGTCATCGTCTCAGTGGCTTTTTCAAACACAGTGACAGATAACTTTGCTGTGTGCTTACCTTTCCAATGGGATTGTTGGGAGTGTTGATGATGATGGCCTTTGTCTTAGAGTTGAATTTACCTGCGAGCTCATCTGGGTCCAGAAACCAGTCAGCGCTTGTGATCGTCTTCTTTCCAGACTTCTGAAATGTTGATTTCTGTTAAAGGTACTGACATCTGCTAAAATCCTCAGGCCGGAGCAGCAGGTAGACAGTGCTCCATGCACTGAATTCAGATGAACTCTTTACAGCACAGCACATCTTTCTAACAGTGAATTTTCTCTTTTCTCATGTTAATAGTTTAATTATATGTTGTACAGAATAGGTTATATAATTTTTTGCAGGTTGTTTTAAGTTGTATTTGGGGATGCAAACTAAACACATGGCCATACTTACAAGTCTTAGCGGTATCAACACAGGCTTGCCCCCGGCCATACGAACCATAGGTACATAACAATCAAAGAAAGGTTCAATAATGATGACCTGGAAGAAGGGAAATTACACAGTGAATGCGCTGGGAGAACATTTATGGATGTAAATATGAACGTTTGTGAATATGAAGCAAGGGAGCGAAGTCCTCACCTCATCCCCTTCTTCCACTAGAGCTTGGATGGCGCTAAATAAGGAACCATAACCACCAACCGTGACCAGAATTTCTTTTAAGGGATCAATCTGACGTCCATAGGCCTTCCCATACACCTGAGAGAGGGCCTTCACCAATGATGGATGCCCCTTTTTAATAAACACAGAGCATAAGTGAAAGAACAGAAAAACCATAATAATGCAGTATTCATTAAGATGGTATGGGAGTTTTAACACACGAAACTCTGCAGATTGTGATCCACAAAGACATACAAAGCCTCTGGTGTACTGGTTCATCCTGTCAACTGATGCGGCCTTCGCTAGCGCTTCCTTGACATAAGAAGGTGGAGGAATGTCTGGAAAGCCCTGGCCCAGGTTAACAACAGATGGGTCGGCTGCCAGTGCCGTGAAAGCCACCCTAAAGTAACACAGGAATAAAGCTTCACTAGAAACAACAGAAATTAGTACATATTTCTGACCAACGGGCAAACAAAGGGCATATTTTTATATTTGAAAGTGGTACAAAAGTGGTCTGTTAACAGAACTCCTGCCGTCTCTTACAAAGACATACGAATGCTTTACTCACCAGACGTTCTTGTCCAGTCCTTCAATTCTTTTGGCATGTGTGTGCCGTGACATCATTACGTGCTGCAACAAAATACAAAACAGTATGACAACTTCCACTACTTAATCATTTCCAGTCACCCAACATAGAAGAAATTGGGGTGGTGGTAAAATAATCGTTAACTAGCTGAATCTTGAGAAAACGTCAACGTTTCAGGACTTTGCTCGGTGGCTGTGTAGCTTCTCCAGTTATACATCTACAAACATCGCTAACAAATCAGTTCAATCAGTGCATCCTGCCGATTAACAACCACATGATATCACATACCCTCTGTGGCTCAGTTCAAATCTTTTTAAAGTGCTGTTACCTGTGAAGTAGTAAATGTCTTTCTGCAGGTTACGTGAGCTGATCGACATGTAAACCTGGAGCAGTTCAGGACCTGTCGTGCAATGCTCATGCTGCACAAAAAGAAAGGCAATTAAAAGAAAGTGAGATAGTTTACTTCTGCTTTCCCAGTATAACCTGTAGCTTTGTGCAATACCTTTGCTGCTGTGACTATGACTTTGTGCTGACTTAGATGCCTCCACATGGATGAACTGTGGTTTTATCGTTCTAGTAAAGGACAAAGTCCTGCTTTTTTCTTCTTTTATTTTTTAAACAAGACATCAGTTATCACCGACACCCCAAACTGAAGAATGTAGTCTGGCAAATTAACTGTTAAACGCTGTTTTTGCTTTGTGCCTTTTGGTGAATTTACTTTCATCAGATCACTTTAAAAAGAAAAAAATAACCTCAGGATTTCAATGCAAAGAAGTGCAGCCAAAAATGTGGCAAGACACAGATTTAATTATAAGATTAATTATCTGTAACTGGATCGGGCAATCTTCAAATGTGGTAACAACTATTAATGCACTCAATGTAATACTTTTTAAATTTGTAACAGGAGAATTATTCTTTAACAAATCAATTCAATACATTCATAACAAAATTAATAAAAGGACAATTTTAAAAACACTTGCTCTTTTGCATTTGTTTCATACACATTAAGTTTAGCAAGACATCTGCGTGGTTATCTCGGATCTTTACATTCTTCTTAAAGTTCATTTTCAAACTTTCAACTTAGGGCTTTGATATTTTTTGCACTATGGTCAATACATTGCAATAAAAAAAAAACTAACTGCCCACAGCTGCAACAGTAGGTGGCGCAGATGTTCTTCACTTCAGCCCACTGTCCCATCACGGGTACTGCTGGGCAATACCGGGGAGATATTATCCGGTAGGGAGACGCTGAAAACCCATGAACCGGTTTCACCTGCTGATTTTCCCTCAGTCGGTTTATGCAGCTCTGCTGTCTGACATAAACGTGGATGTTCTCAGTGAAACATCTGAGTCATGTGCTATCGTGGGCTGCAGATGAATACACAGCACCAGCTAGCTGAAGCTAACGGTAGCAAAATGCTGATTTAGGGATTAGCTGCTCCGTTAGCTTCGCCTTGCTATATAACCCTCTGCTGACAACCAATGCTATCAGCCCTTCTTCACACATCACATACCATGCAGTCGTAGACGTTAAGGCACTGGCTCTGCGATCAGAACTTACTTAACACTTACAAACAGGTCCAGCGGTCAGGAGGAGGAGGAGACGTCACTGCTGCTGCGTTTAAAGCTACCGGAAATTTGCGAGTTTTAACTCTTAGCGACACTTAGTGATATGAGTAAATGGCTCGACTCATGAGGAAAAGCAATACACACTTTATTTAATTTTTAGAAATCCAACGAAAGTCACTTAACACTTAACAGCATGAGGACCGTTAAAACTCCTAAGTTCACGTTTCGTCTTCAATTATTTGTTTACGTAACGGACGTGAAGGCAGCACTGTACTACCACACAGGCCTGTGAGGTGACGTTTGTGTCACGTGTGGGGTAACAAATAATGATTTCACCTAAGTAGTCTTTGCGGTCACTTTTTTTACTCTGTCCATTAGTCCATTATTAAATGAGTCGGCATCTATAAGCCAGTTGATGCTGTTAATGTCACGTTTAACAAAACAGCCACCACATCCAATTAAACAGTCCTGGGTGGATTGTTTATGAGTCTGTGCCAAGACTGACACCGTGGCAATGTGTAACAAGATATGCAGGGTTGTATTTGGAAACAAGGTTATCGAACATTTCTGGGCGAATTGGACAATACATGCAGTTTGGGGCTACATGTCAGCCAGTGGTCTTCTGGATCTTGTCAAAATTGTTGGCATTTTGAGCATCGGCCATGCAGTACTATCTGGAAAGCATCTGATTGGCAGTAGTTTAATTTGTTCCTTATGAAAATGGTCCCAAACACGCTGCCAATGCACTAAAAGCATACATAGATAGAAAACCATACAACTGAAGACAATCAGGCATGGGTTGGCCATGATCATGATCATCTGGACAGAAAGTGGAACAAAATGTAGCTAACATCTAAACAAGAGCTCTGAATGTCCTGCAAGAAGCCTGGAGAACTATTCCTGAGGAAATTACCGGAAAGCTTGTCTAAGAGGTCAGGCTATGATGAAGAATAAACGTGGTCATACCATATATAGACTTTTAAGCTCATTAAATTTGTACAAATGCAGTTTTTGCCTTACATTCTGTATTTCTTTGTATGTTTGCAGATGTTCAACTAAACCTGTGCACCTATTTTACATTTTCCTAGGAAAATATAAAGAAATGAGGGCTGTAATACTTTAATTCTGTAAATTTTAGTAAATGAGTGTTTATTTACTGCTGTTATTATTTGGAGAAACAACATTATTTTCTATATTTTATATTAAATCGAGGTAGGAAAACACAGAGGAATATGGGATGCCTTGCCAGAGCTTTTCTCTGGCTTATCCCTATTGAATTTTCAATCATATGTCCGTAGGGATATTTGAAGACATTAAATATCTGACCGCCTTTCTGAGAAACCTGCCAAGAAAGCACTTTCAACAGCACGTTGCCTTCGGATCAGATTTTTATTGCTTTATATGATTTTTACAGTTACAGTAAACTTTGTGTTACATCACTCTTAAATCTCAACCCCACTGATTTTCATGGATTTATTTCCAACTATTTCTTTCCTAATAAACCCATAGACTGAGTTGTCTTCAAATGGATTACATTTACCGGTAATCAGGAATACATAACCAAATTATCAAAAAAAAAGATGTGCAAATATATTTCCATTTTTTTATTCCTTCATTGCATTTTGAATAAATTCTGCCAATTCAAATTTCAAAATACAAAAAGTTTGTGTAGAACTAAATATGCTAAATGACCTCATTAAAAATGTAGTAACTTTTTTCCCCAGATTTAAATAAATTCCAAATTTGCAATATTTTTTATTTAGCAACCAAACTCCTTTGTACAAGGGTAAGGTTGTCTGAGCTGTATGCTTCCACGGAAACAGCTTTCAGATGAAATGTGGACGTGGATTAGATCAAATCATCAGGTAAATAAACTTGCAGCCTTTGTTCACCCAAATATGGCTGTGCTTCAAGTTTCCAACATAGCAATTCTTGCTAAGTAGCAGTGGGAGAGTGGGAAAGGTGGCACCAGAAATAAGTCAAAGTGATAAAAGTCGTAATGTTATTCTAACCAAAGAGGGGCTTTCTCGACTTTAAATCATGGCTACACTGAATGTTTCTAAGGGGACACTGCATAGAGCTGAAAAACAAATCAAACGTTAGGACACCATCACAACATCACTATATTAAGCTTTGTTCCCAGAGAAAGAGAGAAAAGAAACTTCATCACAGATGTAATTTTATAAAATAAAGAACAGAAAGTTCCAACCATAAAAGCTCCTGTCAAAAAAGATCTATAGAGGTCCTAAAGCATTAGTGTCAATACACAAGGACTGGAAGAAGGCCAAGCACTTTAGAGAAACCAACATTTCACAGTGGATGATGAAAAAGCGTCATATTGGTTATGTGGATATGCAAACAGTACTCTCACTGATATAAACTACACAAAACACCTCAAGTAATGAAAATTAAAACTATTCTGAGCTATGTATTCCCTCGTGATAAATGATCTATCTCATAGATCATGCCAGTTGTTTTACACTGCATTAACTGGACCTAAACTGAAAAGAGTATGTGCTTGAAAATACAAAACAATTAAAATATTACTGGTGTATACTGGTTTGGAAGCTGCAAAGTGATTCACTAAGTGAATAGATTAGCCTTCAAGAAGATGGTATCAGGTAGCATCTGCTCTTTAAGTTCTCTACAAGATGTAGTGGAAGTGCTGCTGGACTAAAATTGATGGCAGTGGGAAGTACGAGGCGATGTCTTAATGGCACTCTAATATTTTACATTATAGTAACAGCTCACTCGAACTGCACTATCAGTCTGTGCAGCAGGAAACAGAGGCAGTATTTGTAATACTTGTTAGTTGATGTCTGCAACAGCCACAAAATCTAACAGTGTTCAAAACAACTTAAAAGCTTTCCTGCAAGATAACAGAAGTATAGCACAAAGAGTCTCTAATTCCTAAAGTGGAATTCAGTGGTGGAAGCTACAGAACTTTTAAATACTTTCACTAATCTGTGTTTTACTTAATTGCTTTTCAAAGGCAAACTGGTTCATTTTTACACTGCTTTTACATAATGGGGATCCGTTGTGCTCATTTCCTCAAATTCATGTTTTTGTTCTTGGAGTCCTCTTGTTACGACCTCTGCTCACTGGGAGGAGGGGAGGAGGAGTGACTTTAAATAACAGAATGAAAAGGGTTAGAGTTAAGTACTTTATTTGGGTTTTGTAGGGAGGTGGTGGAGGCGGTGCAGTGCAGTGGAATAAAACGGTAAACAACAAAGAGGCATGGGTCAGACTTTTTATTTTAAATCACAGCTGCCCTGATTAACAGCACGTTACCAGGCACCAGACCAATGAAACTGGCAGCAGGTAGAATTCATAAGGAGCAGACAGGTGAGGAAGGCAGGATGATGGGCATATGCAAGCACCAGTCAGGAGCATGGGCCTGCACGTATTAGTTAGCATAAAAATACTGTTAAATTATTCAAGGGCAACAGAGTAAAGCAACCGCGGGCTGTTACACGGCTGCATGACTCAGAGTTCCTCAGTTCACCCTGTGCCTGAAAAGAGCTGTTTTAACTCCTCTCACTTTAAGTCTACCGTCCCTTTTAGCCTACGGCATGAATAGCAATTTGGTTCCTGATCTGATGTCCTACAAAGAACCTCCCAAAAAAAAAAAATAAAAGAATCAATATGAGACTGCACTTTTAAAGTGAATCTCAAGGCAAATGATGAAACTGCTGCTGCTGTTCAGCTTGATTTTAGTGCAACAAGGTTAATTTAAACGTTCAACATTTTCTCATCAGTTGGGGAGGATGGATTTGATGTATTTGTACTGTCGCCTCAGTTTTGTTGCTATACTTACATTTCAGATGGAAATAAAGTAGAATCATAAAGTAAAGTTTTTGCATCTTTAAGGATTTTTTTTTTTTTTTTTGCATACTGAGCACCTTTCATTTAATACTTTATGGAGTTTAAAAAAAAAACACTTTACTGCCAGTCCTTATATTATGTTACTTACATACTTACCATGCATTCATTAGAAAGGCCCATGTTAAAACATATCTCATTTTTGATCAATTACATTTGTCATATTTGCTCTTGCTTGAACAGTTTAATGTTGTTGCTGTAAACACACTTTGTTTAATTGTGATCTGCAATGTAACAAACATCCAACAAAAGACTGATCAAATCAGTTGAGTAAAGAAAAAAAAACTTGACTGTTTGAGACCGATACTCTGAGAGTATACTGATGAGTTTTAATAAAGGAATTTTGCTTTTCAGCTGTATTGAAAGTCAAATAAATGCATACATTTTTAATAAGCCTCAATGTTAGTACTATTGTCATCAATATTAGCAGACAGCTGCAGTTTCCATGCATTACAAACATCTGCTGGGGTTTCCTGAGATGTCCACGCCCCTGTGGCTCACAGTATACATGCCTGCATGCTCTGGCAGAGGATCTAGGAAGGTTGGCGGTCAGAGGCAGAGGAGAAAAGGCGGCCACGCACATCATGATCGGAGACTTCATCGCTTGAAACCCGACAACTCAGATCTTCGAGTCCAGCTCGCATCTCAGACAAGGTAAATATTTACTGTTAACACTGTCAGTGATGTTGAACCGACGCGATAGACGGATTTTCACTGTCCAAACGCGCAGCGGAGCTACAATAACGCAGTTATATTCGGCGGAGCGCTTCTCAAACTACAAGTTATCCCGATTACCGTTACTTTACGTCCTGGTTATATAAATAGGGTCTGAATATGCTACAGAGCAATCTGCGTACAGGAAAGTGGACAGCACCGCTGTAAGAGAGCACCACTGAATCTCCACTAAAAACGTTTTAAGGTCGAACTGTAGCTCCCAACAGAATGAGTTATGGATGATTTGTGCGACTGCAAGATGAATCACAGTTCTTCCTACTGTGTGAGCACTTTTCCCGGCGCTTCCGTTTTACATTAAAGTCTAAAGACTTGAAAGTAGCTCCTTAGAAAAGAGAAATCCAGTCCCGCAGTGCGGGCGGGTTTTTTCCCCCCCATGTCTTTAATGAGACAGGACTTGTTGTATGCCTGTGGCTGGGTGTGTTCCAAACATGTCTGTTTTTGGATATCTGGGATTCAGACAAGTTTCCTGTCAGGAAGGGACAAGGATATGGCCTGGTCAGTTCAATTCAATGGCTGACTCATCCAGTACCAAGACAGTATTTTTCCTTTACCTAACACAGTGTAGGCTTCACAGAAGCCCTTTCAACCCTCCCCCCACCCCATTAAACTATGGAGGCCCTCAGGGTCTAGAAAAAAAAAACCCAGAACACCATAAAATTCAGTGCTTATGTAAAATAATTTATTAAGAAATTAGTTACATCAAATTACATGTTTTCAAATGATCATCAAATTACTTGTTATCAGCTGAGTTGAATTTACTTGTAAATACATTTGTTTAGGCCAAACTTTTTCTTTTAGGACAGCAGTGAAATTCATCCCTGAAATTCATATTATAAAATTAGGGATGTGCTGCTGGTTTTACACACATTCAGTTTGTTGTTTGCGGGGAATGATGTCATTGTGTTTCTGCACACACACATGCAGGTCCATCAGGGGTCTGTTCTTGGTCGATAACTCTTTAACTTTTACATACTCCCAGTTGGTGCTTTCATAAAGAATCCTAATATATTCTATCATACTTACACAGATGATACACAGTTGTACATGGTTTACTTTGATGATCTAACCTCTCTTCACAAATTAATGAGCTGAACCGATGACATTAATTGTTGGATGTCTCGAAACGTTTTAGAACTGAACACAGACCAGACGGTAATATTTGCTGGTGGTCCAAAAAAGTCAGACAGAAAATGTGTTCATATTTATCATCCCTTGCTCTGAAATACAGCGAGCAAGTCAGGAATCTGTTTTGGTGAATGGTCTTAGTTTTGACAGTCACTAGAACTGCTTTCTATCACTTTAAAAATATAGATCAAAAGTCAGAAGTTTCTTATCTCAAACTGACTCTGAGAAAGTTGTCCGTGCATTCGTATCAAGCACATTAGACTATTCTAACACTCTGTTTGCTGGATTATACATTTGTTAGTAGGATGACTTCAGCTTGTTCAGTATCCCGGAACCAGAGTCCTTACACGTAAACAGAAATTTAATAAGTTGCAGTCTTCAAAGTGACTTTATTGTGGCAAGATGGCAATAAAACAGCAATAAGATGGAATCAGTCTTCTACCAGTTTGCAGTCCAGCCAGAACGCCATGGATCTGAAACAGGAATTCTAAAACTCCTCCACAAATAGCGACATAGTATAAATGACAGTTTCATATTACGCTGACTCTAGAAGCTACTTACATGCAGTACTGGAGTAAATTTAGCATCTATTAAATTGTCAACATCATAAACTTCTTTATGAGTAGAAATGTGGCCAAACCAGAGTTAAAAATGTAGCTGCTAGAATTCTTTAAAGACAAATAAAAAAAAAAATGCAATAAACAAAATTCCATTGAGATGGATATCTCAAAACACTGAAACTTACACTTATTTGCATTGTTATTTGGAGCTAAGTGAGAAAAGATAATTTTTGCTGTGTGACCTAACCGACCCTTTAAAGTCTGCCACGGTTTCGTATAAACATCTCCTGAAGAGCTTCTCTCACTCCTTCCTGTTGTTATGATTGTGAAATGGAAGAATCGATAAAGACACTCCAGGTGAAAAAACTTAATTGAACTATGAAAAACATGACGTCTCTAAAAGCTTCAGTCTTTTAGCAACATGTTCAAGAATACCTTACGGCTAAACTTATTAATAATGCAAGACAAGGTTTTATTGACCGTAGCTATTTACCACTGTGGAGCTGCATATGATCAAATGTTGCACTTTATAATCTGACGACTATTTAGATCGTTCAGTCATTTTCCGGTTGTAGAGACATGCTATGTACTATATAGTTCACACTGGAATGTTTTACTACAGAAATCAGTGTGGAGAGTGTTTGTCACATGCAGTTTAAATGACAGTGTAACCAAGCTACTGCCAGACAGACACTGGAAACAGGATCCTGCAGCTGCAGTACTTTAAAGAAGGTGACCACATAATGACAGTGTGAGGGACTCTGCTCTTTTTCATGCTACTGGTTTTAACAAAATTAATCTTTAAATAGCCTGTAAAGAGATTAATAGCTCCAACAACTTGCTGTTGTGTATACAAGCTAAGTGCTATGATTGGTTATGATCAGTTTTGTTAGTCATCGTGTTGCCAGGTGTGAACCGACTCTGCAAAACCAGTGGGCTTTTGGACTGTGAAATTCATGTCTAAACACTTGTCAGAATGAGTAATGTTTATAGTCCAATGTATAGAATGGCTCTTAATAAATTAAATTTGAGATGGGCATTTGCACAATGTCAGAGTTCCACTTGAGATGAGGTTTGGGCAAAGAGAGAAAGTTCAGGGTTCAAAACTAGTCTATCTGGATTGTGGGAAGTAGGAAAATACAGGGTTTTGATTGTCAAATTCTGGACCAATACCATACCGGTATGGCCAATAGTTAACACTGGAAGCACAAAAGAAACTCATCTATATCCAGATACTTTTATTTAGTGGTTAATCTTCTTTTAGTGAATGCAGATTGATTAAATTGGTAATTTTACTTCAGTATTTTTGTATTAAGCTAATGTGAAGTGTTAACATTGTTAATTGAAATGTTAGTCAAAGTATAATGACTTTGAAGGAAGCCTCCACACCCAGTTATGTTACCACAAATCCTTGACATTTAATGTTTCAGTCCCTTGATGTGGACCAAGTTTGTAGATTGCCTTGATTACCCCACAACGTTGGGCTGCAGTCCACATATTGTGTCCTTTAACAGTTTCTCCACCCTACTTTATGATGACATGAATGCCCAGGCCTGTGGGCTTGGTCCTGGAATATTGTTGAAAGCTTTGATATTTCAAGGCTAAAAAGAAAACAATGGAAAAATGGCTTGATATTTGGTAAAAATGTTTGGGAGCTTTAATGGAACCTAAGAAATGAACATTTTTGGCAGCTTTGAAAGGAAAGTAACTGCTTTGACTGATAAGCAAAAAGCAGAATACTCAAAAGCCAAATTAAAATGGTTAGCCAAACATTAAAGATATGACAGAGTTCAAACAACAACAACAAAAGGGATGTAAGATGCATCATGAAAGTCACTGGTGGTGAGTGGCTTTAAAAAGGAATGCCCTGTGAATTTAATAATGTCATTGTTCTCTCTGAGGCTAATACATTTCCCAATTGTACTCTCTAAGAGTTATGTGGTGTTCTTTTCCATTGTTTTGTAACAGGCACCATGATTCCTGTGATGGAATTCCGGCAGTTTTCTGAACAGCAGACAGCGTTCAGAGTCCTGAAGCCGTGGTGGGATGTGTTCACTGACTATCTGTCTGTAATGATGCTCATGATTGGCGTCTTTGGATGTACTCTTCAGGTCAGTAAGACTGACTCACCGTGATGTATTTACTTGAAGAAAGAGACTAATGGAAGTGTAGCTAATACACAGTAACCCACAAGTTTGGATTCAAACATTCTGTTTATGTGATAAGAGAAGTTTTTCTACAGTTTTCTCATTAAATTTAACAATAATTAGACTCAGAGAAAGTCTATACTCTCCCAGATGGCAACATTACTGCTTTGCTTTCTGCTTTGGAACCAGCTCGAAAAAGCACTAATTATGTGCTTTTACAACCCAGCCTGTGTAAAGCAAGGGAGGCATTCAGCCCATCAGGAGTGTACCAGTGGAAACTTTAACCGCCCAGCCACTTTTAGTAAACAGAAGACTCCTAACTCCTGTGAGGCGCTACTTGACTTCACTCTCTGTGTGAAATAGGGACTTTTTTTTGAATGTTGTACAACTCTTTAGTGTAAATCCTGGAAATGATACCAAAACAGTTTAAGAAAAATGTTAACAGGAAATTTATCAGGCTGGAAGCTGCCATTGTTTCCCATTCTCACCATTACAGTGTTTGGACGTGATCTGATTGGTTGTAAATTGAGTGAACAATTCTTTTTGTAGCCAAGTTTAGTTTATAAGTCAGTTATGTAAACGTATTACGCTGCCTGACACAGAAATCTTGTCACTTACTGTATAGTTTGAGTTTTTAAAATTCTGCAGATCAATCAGTCAGTCTTCAGAGACTTTCACTGACTTGACTTTGCATTGCTGTCTGTGATATCTGCAGCGCAACTGCATTGCTTACTATAGTGATTAATTTTATGTCCTCACTTCTCACTAAAATGGGTCGAGAATCTGAGTTTTAAACAGGTAAACAGAGTCCACATAACATCTCCTCCTCTGAGCCCCATTTCCTGTCATTAGCATCTCTTAGTCAAGCAGCTGCTTTTCATTATTTACATTACAAGTAAACGCCTAAGGCATTTGTTTTTTACTGATGCCATTTGGTGGATAGCGCTCAGTGTGTTTACATGCAATCAGGTTACGTAGAGCACCCAAGTAAAGTTAATGAGAGAATGCTTTATATGCACTGTAATAATGTGGTAACTTTTTGTGGCTTACTGAAATCCATGCACGGCTCTCTCTTAGTGAAAATGCACAAAGTAGCAAGGCTAAATGGTAGAAAAACAGAAATCAAAACAGCAGTGTATCTGGGATGTACTAGATTTTTTGTATCTGTGTCACAGGTGCAGTCAGACGAGGGCTCTCCTTACAGTGCAAATGTGTCTGATTTTTAACAAATAGGTCAACCTTTAGCAGTCAATACTGACTCGTTTTGACTTCCTTATGTTATTCAAGCTAATGGAGTGAGTGTGGTGTTTTGATCAGACATCGATTCCTGTCTAATCAAAGATGGGAAATGCCATAAAGACTTTGCTTCTCTTTTTCTGGAGAAGCAGTGTTTATCCATGCGAACATTCAGACCAGTAACAGCCAGCAAAACATGGAAGATGCAGGGTAGCATTTTGTTATTTCACGTGATATGGGACATTCAGTTTGAGGAAAAGATCTATGATACTGAAGGCTTATCAGATCTGGAAAGCAATCACAGTGACCATTATGCTCTAAACTACTTAATTGCGTAATGTCTCCTGGGTTGAGGCAGTGCATGTTCTAATTCAACACATATTCCCTGCAAAAAAAATACAAATACTGTAATACTTGCTTCAGGACAAACATGATGCTGTCTTAGGATCATATGTCCTTGAGTCGAGGGTTGGCACCACTATTTTATTTCTTGCATAAAATATTTTAACTTTTGAGAAATGTTTTCTTGCTCAGCCATTAAAACTACCAAGTTTAGGTTTGCATAGGTTATAAAAGATCATGGTTTAGGTTACAACAGACCCAATAGGCAGTTTGACAACTGTAGCCACCCTATGATTAATCCTCCGTTTCCGGGGTTACCAGTTTTGGCCCTATGGCTGGTTTGCTGAAACCTGCAAGGATATAAATGTCAAAATGTGCTCATTATAAATGTTCTTGTGAATTATTTTCGGGAAAGCAAATTACCCTTGAAACGTAACTGAGAAACAATTTAGCACTTTAAGCCACAAAGGCTTGTTGGTCATTGATTGTACCTGACGGTTGATTGCTAGGGGACATTCTAGTGTTCTAATGGTATTTATCACACGTCAATCAGCAGTGTCCTTTGCTTTCATTGGTAGTTCCTTCAAAGGCTCACCTTTAAGTTAACAAAAGCTTAACTGTGGCCCCTTCATTGCATGAAATCTGAAAAACACTCATTTCTGTGTCTGACTGAGCCTTATTATGCATTTCTTCTTTCTAATATATATATATATTTTTTTATTTCATTTTAGGTAATGCACGATAAAATTATATGCCTTCCTCAGAGAATATCATTGCCTTCAGACAACAGCAGTGAAGTAGGGTTGAAGTCACCATTACATCTGCAGTCCAACACCTCAACTGTACCAACAGGCCTGAAGACCAATCTAGATCTTCAACAGTACAGTTTCATCAACCAAATGTGCTATGAGAATGCCTTGCATTGGTATGCCAAATACTTTCCCTATTTGGTGCTCATGCACACTTTAGTTTTCATGGTGTGTAGCAACTTCTGGTTCAAATTCCCTGGCTCAAGCTCTAAAATAGAGCATTTTATCTCTATGCTTGGCAAGTGCTTCGACTCTCCCTGGACCACACGAGCTTTGTCGGAAGTGTCTGGAGAAAATCAAGAAGAACAGGATCATAAAAAGGGCACCGCTTCTAGGTCTAACATTCCTATGTCTCCGGGGGAAGGCAGCCTCGAGAAGACGCAGTCCCTGCGTTCTATTGCCGAAAAGATTGTTGTTGACCAGCCATCAGCAAGTGTTCTTGATAAAAAGGAGGGTGAACAAGCTAAAGCTCTGTTCGAAAAGGTGAAGAAGTTCCGTTTGCATGTTGAGGAAGGAGATATCCTTTACCTCATGTATGTTTGCCAGACTGTATTCAAGGTGTTTAAATTCCTTGTGATCATTGCTTATAACAGCGCTCTAGTAAATAACGTAAATAACACAGTACGTTGCAACGGTATCGAGGAGATCCAGAACATGACAGGCTACAAAGTCTTTGAATGCAATCACACCATGGCTCATCTCTTTTCTAAGCTGTCTTGCTGTTACCTGTTCTTGGTGTCTGTCTATGGATTAACAAGCCTCTACACCTCCTACTGGCTGTTTTACCGCTCACTGAAAGAATACTCATTCGAGTATGTGCGACAGGAAACGGGCATCAGTGACATCCCAGATGTCAAGAATGACTTTGCTTTCATGCTTCACATGATTGATCAGTATGACCCACTGTATTCCAAACGATTTGCAGTTTTTCTCTCCGAAGTCAGTGAAAACAAACTGAAACAGCTCAGTCTCAACCATGAGTGGACTGCAGAGAAACTGCGTCAGAGACTCCAGACCAACTCCAACAACAAACTTGAACTACAGCTGTTCATGTTCTCTGGTTTACCCGACACTGTCTTTGAACTGACAGAGCTGCAGTCACTCAAGCTGGAACTAATCAACAATGTCACCATCCCTGCCTCAATCTCACAGCTGCAAGATCTTCAGGAGCTGTCTCTTTACCAGTGCTCTTTAAAGTTGCACACAACTGCTACGTCCTTCCTCAAAGAGAACCTGAAAGTGCTTCGTGTGAAGTTCGATGACAACAGAGAACTTCCAAACTGGATGTATGGCCTGCGAAATTTAGAGGAGCTCTATCTTACTGGGTCCCTCAGCTCTGATGCCTCCAAGAATATAGTTCTTGAGTCTCTGCGGGAAATGAAGTGTCTCAAAATACTCTCCCTTAAGAGCAGCTTAACCAAGATACCCCAGTCGATTGTGGATGTTTCCAGCCATCTGCAGCAACTCTATTTACACAACGATGGCACTAAGCTAGTAATGCTCAACAACCTGAAAAAGATGACCAATCTAATAGAGCTGGAGCTAGTACGCTGTGATCTGGAGCGCATTCCGCATGCAGTCTTTAGCCTAACAAGTCTGCAAAAGCTTGACCTGAAAGAGAATAACCTTCGTTCGATAGAGGAAATTGTCAGCTTCCAGCATCTGCGGAAGCTCACTTGCCTCAAACTCTGGTACAACAGCATCATGTACATCCCAGAGCATATCAAAAAACTCGGCAGCTTAGAGCACCTCTACTTCAGCCACAACAAGATTGAGATATTGCCCTCACACCTGTTCTTGTGCAACAAGCTGCGCTACCTGGACCTATCCAACAATGACATCCGTTTCATTCCTCCAGAAATCGGAGTTCTTCAGAGCCTGCAGTACCTTTCTGTCTCTTGCAACAAAATTGAAAATCTACCAGATGAACTGTTCTTTTGCAAAAAGCTGAAAACGCTAAAGCTTGGCAAGAACTCGCTGTCCAAACTCTCGCCAAAAATATCCTATCTAGCTCTTCTGACCTACCTGGAGCTCAAAGGCAACCACTTTGAGTTCCTGCCACAGGAGCTTGCTTTCTGTCGCGCTTTGAAGCGCAGTGGCCTTATAGTTGAGGAGACACTGTTTGAAACTCTGCCTTCAGATGTCAGGGATCAAATGAAGGCTGAGTGAGATGCCTTATTGTAGCCATAGTGCCTGCTGTTTGTTCTGTCTATCAATTCAGAGCATTTGTTTAATATGAAGCCATTGTTATATTTAAGCATTATAAACATGCTAGAGATATCTTTTTGTTCTTTTGTTTTATTAACTGAAGGAAAATGACATATTCATCTATTGTCACATTGAGTGTGGCTGCTGCAGGGACACTTTATACGGCCACTACTCAATCTTAAAGAGAGAGTTCCGCGTTATGAGAAAGTGTTCCTTTTCTTTCTAAAAGTTTTAAGAAAAGTTTTATTTTAGTCTCACATCTGTCTATTAATCAGTAGTCACTGATACAGCCAGGTCAGCTCTTTCTCCCTGAAGTCTCTGATAAAATAACTCTCTGCTGCCTCTAGCTTTATATACATAAAGTGATATTGATTTTTCTCTTTTATCTGTGGAGAAGGAAGAAGCTTATTTTCCATATTGTTAAAGCCTTTCTGCAAAGCCTATTTCCAGTCACTGCGTCATGACTGAATGTAAATCTTCACATTCATGACCACACATTTATGTGTAGGCCAGTAGCCTTAGGCTGTACTGTATATATTTAGATCTAAGAGACTGTTACTTCACATGGATCACAGGAAAAGAGGAAAGTACTTATGAAATATACATAGAATCTAGAAACTTAGAATTAAACTAGAATTAAACAGTTCTCTATTGTAGGAAGCTGTCATTTTAAAGTGCATTAAAAGCCTGAAGGATGATGTCACACTGGTCTTTGTCTTTGTCTCTAAGTGTGAGCAAAAAAATATGCAGCGTAAGAAATATGCATTTTCATGAACAGTATTTTTATGTCATTGACCAATAAAATTTGAGTTTTTAAAAAAAATGTCATTTGGAATTTTTAAATGTCAGAATATTGCAAATAAAATGCAATACAGTTTTGATTTTATTGGTTTACTGACCAGTGATGCAAAATCTAAAGCGTCTAAAAGAGGAAACAGCACAAAGGACAATGTCCCGTATTCAACTGTGTTGTTGGATGAAGCATCACCTGCTGGCTGTTGAGGATTAATAACTGTAAAGAAGATTATTATTGAAAGTCCACAGGGCCTCAGATAAAAAAAAAAGGAAGTGGGAAGAAAGGGCCAAAAAAAAAATTCCAAGGGTAACCCCGAAAAAAAACCAAACCCAAGAAAAATTTTTTATTTTTTAAAGTAATGTTATTTGATTCAGCAATTATGAAAATGCTTTGCATCTACAAAAAAAGGAAAATGAAAGAAATCTTATCTCACAGTTATCACATGGTATTTAGTAATTACAAGCTCATGAAATCTTCTACCCATAAATTGTAAGCTGTAATTACAAGATGTGGTCACATGTTTTTTCCTTTTGGTGAATGCAATGTGCCTTTGTAAACAAAGGGGGCTTGGTTGCAGCTGTCAGTAAAGATTTTTTTATTAATTAAAAGGTGTAATAAAAAAGGGCTCGCATGTTCCCGTTTGAAAGTGAAGGCTGACAATCAGAAAATTGAGTGTTTTCTTGCACTTTTCTGGTAAACCAGTTTTAAATGTGGCGTTTGCACTTTTGCCACGGTCCCTAACTTCAGTGGGTCATCCTGCACTTGCTGTCAATTGAAACAAGGGCTTCAAAACGCTCTGTGCCGTCGTATCAGGTCCTGATGTGGAACAGAAAACATGCGCAATATTAGGGAAGATTTCACCTGCGCATAAAAAATGCACAGTTTCGCGGACCTGGTGCAAAGTCCTGAGGTGGTCCGGCCCCGGTGAACGAGCATATCAAACAAACGGTGTTCACCTCCAGCAGCTGGTGCTGCCGTGCCGGGCTGTTTCGCCCAGTCAGAGGCAGAGGACCGTACCATCTGAAGCCGAGTAGGGGTAGTCAGATAAGCTGCTTACAGCTCTGCCGGCAGGCCCACGGTTGAACTAGTGCGAAGAATGGACGGATTCATCTCATCAGGGAAACATGGCAAGTGAGAAGAGGCGTTGTTCGGTACTGCTGGCATCCGCAAAACCGGATCAGACTCCCTGAAGGTGAGTATGCGGCTGTTTTGAGTGTAAATCATCTAAGGTCTTTAAATGTAGCCGCAGTGCGTTGGCTCAATAACGTTAGCAGGCTGTATGGTGTTATAAAATTTAGTGGAGCTGGACAGAGAATTAAACCTGCACGGAGTGTACTGTTTTAATGTGAAGGTGATTTTCTGCAGCCGAAGATTTTTTGTGCTGCGTTTAAAGGCGTCACGTACATCCCCCACCCCTTGTTTTGAGTGCATGGATGCGTCTTGCTGCTGGAGCCGGTCTCAGCCTGCTCTGCAGCCCCATGGAAAACAGTGACCTTCATGCTTTAACCACAACAGATTTATTCGTAGGGGTAAACGATTATATTTAGTTTTTTTTTTCTCTTTAAATAGCAACACCGAAGCAGCTGTTTGTGTATCACGTGTTTTCAGTGCTCAAACAGTATTCAGCATGTTGAGCCTCTCTAGAGCCACTATGACAGTGTCACGGAGTAAAGTGCAGAGAAAACCAGGCACAGAAAAGAGACGCAATAGATGCTTAGGATTTACAGCTGCTCTGCAGACAGCACCGTTTGTTTTGCACACTGACATCTCAGATCATGTGTCAGTTCAAGTGTTGGCTCCTCTCTAAAGCTACAATCCCAAGAGGCTGTCTTCTCTGAGTCTGCTCTAAATGTTCCTGAGAAATGTAGCTGTAGCTGAAATTTGAGACAGGGATACTAGCTGTGCATTTTTTCACTAAACCCCTAATGGATCCAGCTTTACGAGAATAAATGTGATTGCAGTGGAGTCAATTTAATGTAAGTGAACAAAAGGCAGGATTAACGGTTAGAAGGTTGCACTTGGACCAGTTAAATTGCAATTGTCCATTACAGCGTGACATCTACAACATGTCACCTCCCCAATTTCTTTAATTCTTTAAGTCAGGGAATGCTTTTACAGAGTACCATTGGGATGAGGATGTCTGTAAACAGCTTACAAGGTACATCTAAGACTCCTTCATGTGTGGGTTTATTATGGACCGAGACATTATGTGAAAACAATTCAGTACAAAAACATCAACTGTTATATAATCCTATGCACATTTTCTTACTAAAGTTGTTTTCTGTTGCAGGAATGTTCACGCTCACAGAAGTAGCCTCCCTGAATGACATCCAGCCAACTTACAGAATACTGAAGCCATGGTGGGATGTCTTCATGGATTATCTTGGTATTGTCATGTTGATGTTGGCCATATTTTCTGGAACGATGCAGTTAACTAAGGACCAAGTGGTTTGTCTTCCCATTCTGGAGCAAACTCCAGAGCGGTCCGGGGGTTTCTTGGAACCTGAAGCACCAGAGCCAACCAATGGCTTTTGGAACAAAGAGAGTGCCATTGGGGAGCAAGCTGCTCCTCTCATGGCTAAAAGGCCTCCCGATAGCGTCACGCCTACCATTCACTTCACACAGCCAGCTACCATCGGACAGCCCTATCCTACAGGCGTCAGGACCAAGCTGGATTTTCAGCAGTATGTTTTTGTCAACCAGATGTGCTACCATGTCGCCCTACCTTGGTATTCAAAATATTTCCCATACCTTGCCCTAATTCACACTATTGTGTTGATGGTCAGTAGCAACTTCTGGTTCAAATACCCCAAAACAAGCTCAAAAGTAGAACATTTTGTTTCCATACTGGGAAAGTGTTTTGAATCACCTTGGACTACCAAAGCTCTGTCTGAGACTGCGTGCGAGGATTCGTCAGAGAACAAGCAGAGGCTGGCCGGGGCCTCCTCTCTCCTGAAACATCTGTCCACAAGTAGCGAGGAGGGAAGTCCGAACCAGTCCGCTCCGGTGCTGACTAAATCTGGGGTTACCTTTTCTGCTGAAAAGCTTGTGAGTGAAATTCCCTCCATGACTATACTGGACAAGAAAGATGGCGAGCAAGCGAAGGCCCTGTTTGAGAAAGTTCGGAAATTCCGTGCTCATGTGGAAGACAGTGATTTGATTTATAGACTCTATGCCATACAGACAGTTATCAAAACTGTGAAATTTATTCTGATCCTGTGCTACACAATGACGTTTGTTGCTTATATAGATTTTGACCATGTGTGTGAGCCTGAAATAAAGCATTTGACTGGATATACCAAGTTCCATTGTACACATAACATGGCATTTATGTTAAACAAGCTCCTTGTTAGTTATATTGCTCTCATATGCGTTTATGGCGTGATCTGCATATACACACTGTTCTGGCTTTTTCGGCGACCACTCAAAGAGTATTCCTTTGAAAAGGTCAGAGAGGAGAGCAGCTTCAGTGACATTCCTGACGTTAAAAATGACTTTGCATTCCTCCTCCACATGGTTGATCAATACGACCAGCTGTATTCAAAGCGTTTTGGGGTTTTTCTCTCTGAGGTGAGTGAGAATAAACTTCGCGAAATCAGCCTGAACCATGAATGGACCTTTGACAAGTTACGCCAGCATGTAACGCGCAATCCTCAAGATAAGTTGGAACTTCATCTTTTCATGCTATCTGGAGTTCCGGATGCTGTGTTTGATCTCACTGACTTGGAAATTCTGAAACTAGAATTAATCCCAGAAGCCAAAATAACAGCGAAGATCTCACAAATGATAAACCTTCAGGACCTGCACTTCTACCACTGTCCTGCCAAAGTTGAGCAGACAGCTTTCATTTTCCTTCGTGATCACCTCCGATGCCTTCATGTCAAATTCACAGATGTTGCAGAGATTCCTAGCTGGGTATACATGTTGAAAAATTTAAGGGAACTCTATTTGGTGGGTAACCTGAACTCCGAAAACAACAAACTGATTGGACTTGAGTCTCTGCGAGATCTCAGGCACCTAAAGATTCTGCACCTCAAAAGCAACCTCACAAAGATCCCTACAAACATAACCGATCTGTCACCACATCTGTTAAAGTTGGTTATTCATAATGATGGTACAAAGCTCTTAGTGCTGAACAGTTTGAAGAAAATGATGAACCTTGCAGAACTGGAACTGCATAACTGTGAACTGGAACGAATCCCTCACGCCATCTTCAGTTTGAACAACCTTCAGGAACTTGATCTCAAATCCAACAACATTCGCACCATTGAAGAGGTCATCAGCTTTCAGCACCTGAAAAGACTAACGTGTCTCAAACTTTGGCACAATAAGATCATCACTATTCCACTGTCAATCAGCCATGTTAAAAACCTGGAGTCGCTCTATCTCTCACACAACAAGCTGGAATCTCTGCCGTCACCATTATTCACACTTCTCAAGTTGCGGCACCTCGATGTTAGCCATAATTCTATAGTGGTAATCCCACCAGAGGTGGGCTTTCTCCAGAACCTCCTATACTTTGCCATTACCGGTAACAAAGTCGAGGCACTTCCCAAGCAACTGTTCAAATGCACCAAACTAAGGACTTTATGCTTTGGCCACAACTGTATCTCCTCTGTTCCAGAGAAAATTGGCCAACTTTCTCAGCTCACACATCTGGAATTGAAGGGAAACTGTCTGGAGCGTCTCCCAGCTCAGCTCGGTCAGTGTTCCCTCCTTCGCAGGAGCTGCCTGATTGTGGAGGATCATCTCTTTGACTCACTTCCAATTGAAGTAAAAGAGAGCATCAATCAGGAAACCAGTGTTTCTTTTGCTAATGGATGTAAATGTTTAAGTGATGGACGGTAGTTACATCCTATATGACATCAAATGTTGGCCATTTTCTCTCAAGTCTTTGTTTTTTAAGTGCATTAGTGCTAGAAAACAGCTAGTGCACATGTTGGGGTTTTAGGGTTATACACAGTAAACATAGCAAATACAGGGTTGGTACCACTGGAAATGTCATGGCTTGTGTCTTGTCTTGATTTTTTCCCCTTTCCTTTTATTTTTAGTTACTGTAAATGCATAGCAGCACCTCAAACACCTTATACTTCTTAACCATAGTATTCACAAACATCTATAGTAGATTAATGGGAAGAAATATATTATTGAAAGTGTACCCCTTTTACTGCTGTGACTTAATTTGTTAATTTTTTTAAGATTAACTTTATTATGAATATTTTGTGTAAAGAGTGAGATTTAAAGGATTGATGCCTGCATGTATCTCCAGCCAGATCTGACAATGAAGTATAAAGCTGCAACCTGGAGATGATTAGCTTAGCGTAGCTTAGCAAAAAGATTGGAAAAATGGGGAAACCGCTACAATCTGTGAACTGACCATGAAATTAAATCCATGCATATTTAAAGTTAAATAAGTAGCATACAGTATTCAGCTTGTTTGTTGAACAAAATAAAGTGGTTTCTCTGTATTTTTAATCTTTAATGTTGAGCTCAGCTAACTGTAGCTCCATATTTAGCATGAATACGTTCTATCAATCTTTTCATGTAACTCTCACAAAAAAAGTATTATTTCTCAAAAATGGCAGCACTTTAATCAGATAACGTTAGTTTCTTTGTTTTTGTGTGTGCCTTATTTATTTTCTGTTGTTTTTGCTGTTTTCCCTTTTAACAAACATTTTATATTTAATACTTAAAGTTAACAGAAGCATCTCTTTCCAGAAGCAATGTTGTCATTTTCCTGGATAATAAACAGAGCTCACTGGTTTTACTGTTTTTATCAAGCACTTTATCTCTACTTTCAAATCGAATCTGTACGAGCGATAACAGGGTGCCGTTTATGGGAAGTGGCATCGCTTTTTGGATTTTTTTCAATGCATTTCAGTTACAATTACAGAGATGTGCTTAAAACTACAAAACCAAATCTATCATGGAGACTGTAAATGAGGATGTGATTTGAATCCTTTAAAAATCTCAACTTCATCTATATTGTTATTATAAACATTTCAAAACTGTTAGTGTCAGGAACCTCACTTCTCATGCACAACAAGCTGAGTCTTTACCTTCACTGTTATTCACCCTCCTCATGTACTACCACTAACCAATAAACCACAATTAACTGTATGTTCTCATTAAGCGTATTCCACCTTCTTTAGGCTTATCGTGCATTTTGAAGATGTACACCTATATGTTGAAATTTCCATTAACCTCTTTTGCTACTGCTTCAGTCTTTAATCTTTTTTTTTTCTTTTTTAATCAATAGACACCATATTCCTTTCAGCCAAATCACAAAGATGCTTTGTTTAATTATTGTTTTTACTTTAACTGTTATGTCTAGTTATGTTGTACTGTTCTGATCAGTATATTTCTCATGTATTTTTTGTGTACTTACATTGTGTTTTCTGTGTTTTTCTGCCCAGCACTTTGTAAACCTGTTTCTAAAATGCGCTATGTTACATAATAAAGGAATGCTATACAGTTATTATTGCTATTATGAAATGCTAGAAATTATAATAAAATTGCACTGCAATACTTTTATGCACAAAAATGTGAAATTATTCTGTATATTTGTGTTGTGAAAGCCTTGATGTCTCATATCTCACTGTTCTTTTTGTTTGTTTGTTCTTTGCTTAGCCAGAACAGGTTTTTCTCCTCATCCACCAGTAAGAAAACTGCTGACATGTTGTTTTACCAGATACCTGCACACACCTGGGCTACATGAAAAAATGCAACAGTCACATTTTACCTGACAACCTTCTGCTTTTTAACAGAGTTTCTGTTAAAACCAGTAATGCCTATGTACTACATCAGGGGTGGGCAACTCCAGGCCTCGAGGGCCGGTGTCCCTGCAAGTTTTATATGTGTCCTTGAACCAACACAGCTGATTTAAATGGCTAATTTAGCTCCTCAACATGTCCTGAAGTTCTCCAGAGGCCTGGTAACAAACTAATCATGTGATTCAGGTGTGTTGACGCAAGGTGAGAACTAAAACCTGCAGGACACCGGCCCTCGAGGCCTGGAATTGGCCACCCCTGTACTACATTCATCACCAGTTTATTGCAGGGTCAACACAGAAAGAGTCTCACACATTCAAATTCATACCTACAGCCCATTTAGAATGAGCATTTAACCTAATAGACATATTTTTGGACTGTGGGAGGAAGCTAAGGCGGAGAGGATTCATAACAGGAAGAACATGCCAAAGCTATCCAGGATGAAATTAATGAAATAGATCTATCTATCTATCTATCTATCTATCTATCTATCTATCTATCTATCTATCTATCTATCTATCTATCTGTAATATTTAATTTGGTGTCAAACGTGATACACTTCATACTATAAAGAAACATTGTAAATGTGGAAGACTTTCTGAAACTACATGATAATACATTTCTTGTGCAGTGTTGCCCCCTTGTGGAAATAATTTGTTCCTATGTGTGTTTTTGTTTTCCAAGTAGTATTTACTACCGGTACATTGGATATGCTTTCAAACATCCATCTTATCTTATTATTCTAAGATGTTTATCAGACAATAACATGGACCAGTTAAATTAAACTGTAGGGATTTGCACTTAATTTACTAATAAATAACAAAAACTGTGTCATTTATCATCTCTAAATTGTGTAACTGGGAGGCACTGGTAGGGCCAGCAAGTTTTGGGCCCCCCTTAGTGGCGCCCCTGATTAAGAGGGTTAAAACAAACTTTAGAAGTCATCATTCAGTATTTTCCTGGTCCAGTCCAGTTGAAATTAAATAGGATTGTAGGTGGTCCAGCTAAATGAGTTCAGCATCTCTGTTAAACAGACCTTCTTATATCACAGAACTATATCATGTCACACTGCCACAGATCATTGTGCTACGATGACAATGCTCCATGCCCATTTTATTATTTTATATTAATATGCAGTTTTATCTTATACATGTTATTCAAAGGAGCTTGCAAAGAAAAGCGTCTGGACTTCTTTAAGTTGCTTGAAGACGTTTCACCTCTCATCCGAGAAGCTTCTTCAGTTCTAAGGTCAAATGGTGGAGAGTCCCAGATATAAACCTAGTGGGAGTGACCCCCCACAGAGGGACAAAAGGACCCCCTGATGATCCTCTAATCACCTGAGCCAAGGTGTGAAATTGGGTGCGGGCCCCAATCAGCCAGAGTTTCAGGTGGGTTCATTGTGAAACCTGGCCTCACCTTGTCATGCGAATTCCTGAGGTCAGATGGCCCAGGATGTGAGTGGGCGTTAAGGCGTCTGGGAAGGGATCTCAAGACCTTGGCTCAGGTGATTAGAGGATCATCAGGGGGTCCTTTTGTCCCTCTGTGGGGGGTCACTCCCACTAGGTTTATATCTGGGACTCTCCACCATTTGACCTTAGAACTGAAGAAGCTTCTCGGATGAGAGGTGAAACGTCTTCAAGCAACTTAAAGAAGTCCAGACGCTTTTCTTTGCAAGCTCCTTTGACTACGATGACCTGGATGACTGAGAACCTTCACAGACTTATACATGTTATATTTTTAAGTTTTATTTTTCCTGACATTCAGCTTGTCTTTCTAGAGCACCAATAAGGCACGACTCTCATGTTTAAGGCATACAAAATTAATTGCCTAATTTTGCTTTCTACTTAAGATGTGCAACTTGTGTCAGTTCCAAAAAGCCATGAAAGCAGGGCAATGCTACAGGGTAGTATATGGAATATAAATCCAAAAATATAGCCTCCTACAATATAACTAAAATATTTAAAAAAAAACCTTCAGATGAGGAAGCATCCCATTGTGGATATATGTTGATATATGAAGGTTTATTTATACTACAGCTGGCTCGACACCCCCCTTTTCATGTCTGTTGGTACTGATATCACAACCTTGAACATCTGCAAATGCAAATACACAATCAATACATTGTTTTCCCCCTCCCTTAAAGAGCTAAGCTGTTGATATAGTTGTGTGTGGACACAACTATAGACTGTGAAAATAGAAATAAACATGATTGCATCGTTTGGGTCTGAAAAGTGATAGCAACGTGAAAGTGCCCTAAACAAATGTTCTTTCTAATGACCAACACAGGCTGACTGTACAGTAAAGTAAATAGTATCCTGATGAGTTCATGGTCTCAGTCACTAGTTTCAACTCTTACTCAATCCAGCATTATTTTTAATTTGTAAATTATGATTCCCAAGATGGTAAAGTAGGGTTTAGTGCAGGCCTATGACCATGCAGTGCGGCCCTCAAAGCCCTCAAAGAGTTGGCAGTTCGTCTTGTAATCGGAAGGTTGACGGTTTGAGCCCCGGCTTCGACAGTCTCTGTCGTTGTGTCCTTGGGCAAGACACTTCACCTGTTGTCTACTGGTGGTGGTCAGAGGGCCCGGTGGCGCCAGTGTCCGGCAGTCTCGCCTCTGTCAGTGCGCCCCAGGGCAGCTGTGGCTGCAATGTAGCTTGCCATCACCAGTGTGTGTGAATGGGTGGATGACTGAATGTAGTGTAAAGCGCTTTGGGGTCCTTAGGGACTGAGTAAAGCGCTATACAAATACAGGCCATTTACCATTTAATCACACCTGACTTTAAAACATAATGATAGAGATACTGTCTTTGAGGCTTCAAGTAATCAGAAAATCTCTCTGCGTAACATCCAGCTTTTATTTATGGTTTATGAGTTAGACATCTGTGCTCCAAGCATCATTTATATTCTGTGCCTGAGATGCAGCTTCCATTAGTGCATTCAAAGTTTATTTGATTCTCTTTGATTACCCTGATCTTTGTTTGATTATACCGTTTTACTTCTGATATCCAAACTTGTAATTTTGTCATGTAATGGACTGATACCAATATCAGTATTAATATCGATACCAATGTGAAGCATTGTATCACTAATCAAAACTGATTGAAACAGAAAACAACACAGGTTCTTGCTGAAAGCTGGTCACTGTCCCAGTTAATACCTTTACTAACTGGTGACACTGTTTAACAGCATGCTCTTGAATGATATAATATAGATATAGTGAATCACTAAGGAGTTATTACATGATGACAAAGGGGCGTTTTGTTTTTCTTGCATTTGTCATATATGTACTATACAACACTCATTTTCCTGAATGTTTGATGCCATAACAGGTAATTAGATATAAGCTGAATGCATTTATTTAACTAAACCAATAACAGGTAAATTAACACATCTTTTCAGTTCAGCTTTCAGGCCCCACTTCTGTGGAACCACGTCCTAATTTGGATTTAGTAAACAGAAGGCATCGGCTGCTTCTAATGGTGTGCCGCAATGAGTTTTTCTTCTGTGTTTATACCACATTCTGCATTAAATCATTAGTTATTATTCATTCCTTGCTCGCTACCATAGTTTGTCTTTTGTCCTGTCTTACTCGCCTCACCCTCAACCGATTATGGCAGATGGCCGCCCCTTCCTGAGCCTGGTTCTGCTGGAGTTTTATTCCTGTTAAAATTGAGTTTTTCCTTTCCACTGTCACCAAGTGCTTGCTCATAGGGGCTTTTCTAAATGTTGGGGTTCTCTCTTTATTATTGTAGGGCATTTTCCTTACAATATAAAGGTTCTTGGGGTGACTATTGTTGTGATTTGTGATTTAACTGTTTCTTGGTGTGCTCATCGACTTATTATGTTATGATGCATATACTAAAAACGTAAAAATGTATGTAAATAATGTATAATAAACATGTTATTACAACATATTATGTGTTATATGTAAATTTTCATTTTAACAGCAGAGTTTCAGTTTACCATTATGTTCTTTTTTGAAGCAGCATCATTATGGTGATTTTATGGTTCATTCTGCATGTATTTCACCTCTAGAGGGCGATCTGTTTTTATCCTGGCATTCGTACAGATCATGCACACATGCAAACAAACACACTCACACATGAACACAGATTTACATAGAGGGCGGGTAACATCATCAGAGCAGACTTGAAGGCAACCATTGTGCCATTTGGATCCTCAGCTCTGGGCTGGGAGGGGTAAACATATGTCACGATAACTCTGAGCGCAGCAGCAGAGAGAGGATGCATGACTTTAAGTCGGCCTGACACCCGGGTTGTTATAAGTCTGCCATCAGGTGGATGGAGAAAACACATGGCCTACAGTCCCGCCTTCATTACTTCCTTGGGATCAAGCAATGGCCTTAGTACTCGTCACAAACACTTAGCGTGCACTTTGCTCGTTACATGACTGCACTGCCAGCCATATTTGTATGAAGTGGTCATCACGGGACATAGCCATGCTTCATCCTGGGGACAGAGCTAACATGATGTCAATTTAAAAGGTTGACTGGCTCCTCAATCTGTGCATCTCCGTCTTGCACAGAGCATAGAGTTTGACACGTCAGCCGAGGAGACAAGTTATTGCTTTAACGACCTGCTATGCATTCTGGGCTTCCTGGTTTGATGCATGCTGCCTGGTTTGTCCTTGGCAGACAACATATTCTCAGCAATAGCAGGTGTTTATTGAGGATAATAAGCACCAGTGTAACAGCAAGATAAATTAATTTGAATTTGGGTTGTTATGTCATTTTCCTGG